GGGAAGGCCAGTGTGTCTTGACGCGGCAACTACAAACAAAACTAGGCCGAGTTGCGCAAGAGTTAAAGTTCTTATCGATTTATTGGTCGAACTACCTAAAAAGGTACGATTGGATATTGATGATGAAGCTACTGGTGGTGTTCGAACAGAATGGGTGAGAATTCAGTATGACATGCTACCAAAATATTGTAAGAAGTATAAACTACAAGGACATGATGAAATTGAATGTTGGCATTTACACCCCGAGCTTATTGAGAATCGAAGCAACGAGAAAAGGAATGATCTTGCTGAGTCGAACAACTGGAATATTGCTGCTGATGAACAAGGAAAAACCAAAAATTACACTACCCCTTTAATGATTCTCACGAGTGGAAAAGTAGTCGGGAACGTAGTTGAACAGTGGAAGGAAGTTCGGGATAATCGGGGAACCAACAAAAATAACAAAACCCAGGTACAAGGGCAAACTGGCAATGCAATCGTGTCAGTGAATGCTAGTGTACAGTCGGTGCACACTACTAATAACTTTGCACTGGTGGAGGTCGAAGAAGATCAGACAAACAAGGTTCAAGCAAGGAATAAATTTGCAGTATTAGAGGAGGAACAAAGTGATATAAACGAGAACAACCGACTGATTTTGGTGGAGGGAAAACTAGTTTTCAGTTCTAAAGATGGTCCTACTCCTTCTGGGATTCAGTCCACAATCGACTGGGTTCATAGAAGGTTTGGGACTATCAAAGAAGAGCTAAAACAACTCAATGTGACCATAAACCAATCTTGTCATGAGATTCCATCTCAAACATTTAAAGATTCTGGGCAGATTGAGGATCTTGATGAGGTAAACTCTACAAAGGTCTTATGGAGCGATGCAGTTGAGGTTAAGGATGATCAGCTAGGCAAAACTAAGACAACAGAAGACAAGGTAAAGAAGGACAACAAGCCAAGCTCACCTAGAGATAGGCTAGCGACGCCAAGCCTAAAGCCAGGCTCACCAGGCGTTAGGCTGGCGACGCCAGGGCTAAATCCAGGCTCCCCAAGCGTTAGGCTGGTGACGCCAGGCCTAAATCTAGGCTCCCCAGGCATTAGGCTGGCAACGCCAGGCCTAAAGTCGGGTTCACCTGATGAGGCAGCTACAGTAAACCCCAACCTTAGTGCAACTGGAGAGATTTTGGCCTATGTAGATGGTGTTCCGGTGTATGCATCAGAGAACAAACTTGATGGAGATGTTGATATGAAGATTAGGGATGATATAGTGGGTTTAGACCAAATTTCAAGCAATGGGAAGGGTGGTGATCTCATTAGAATAGTGCTTTCAGAGAGACTGCTATAGTAACTCCTGGGCTAGGCAGTGTATATGAGCTACAATTCAAGGAGTATGAACAGACTAATGAGCGGGCAATTGTTCCAAGAGCATCGGGGGAAATAGAGGAAGTGCCTATGAAATCTGGCACTAATCAAATTATGCAGCTACATCTTAATGTTCCACTTAAGACTCCTCTACAACATTTACATGATTTAGTTACACACAATGTGACACCAATTGATGAAGACTTATTGAGACAAAATCCAATGGAGGATGAAGGAGATGATGAATCAACTGCAGAAAACTTCAAACAAGTGGCTAGGGAAAGGGATTTATCACCTACAACTAGTGCTAAAGGAGGTAAAAAAATTAAGAAGAATCAGAGTAAAGATCTACTACAACCTTCAAGAATAATGCCCAGGAGGGCAGCTTCTCTATCTAAATGATGATGATCAAAACATTAATATGGAATATAAGGTCTGTGAATACACAACAGACCTTTCCTAGGGTGATCAACATGAATAGGGAGCATAATTTTTGTGTAGTTGCATTGATGGAGCCTTTTCAAAAGAAGGGACTCATTGATAGATATAAAAGTAGGTTGAATATGGAGACTGTTTATGCAAATATTAATGGGCAAATATAGTTGTTCTTCAATGCAGTGGTGGAAAGGGAATTAGTGGAGGATACTGAGCAACAGGTGACTGTGAGAGTGTTTTACCATGACCTGGGGTAGCACATGATGATGACATTTGTTTATGCAAAATGTTCAGCAATTGAGAGGTTAGATTTGTGGGATCACTTGTATTACTTAGCAAGTGATATGGAATTACCATGGTTGGTAGGAGGGGATTTTAATGTGATATTACATGAAGATGAGAAAAAATAGGGGGACTTCCAGTACACCCTCCTGAATATGAGGATTTTGCATTTTGTGTAAACTCTTGTGGTTTGTTTGAGCAAGGGTACAAAGGAAGTCCATTCACATGGTGGAATGGGAGATCCAACGCTGAGTGTATATTCAAGAGATTGGATAGTATTTTTGTGAATTTGCCATTTCAGAACATGTTGCCAACTATTGAAGTTGAGCATCTAATCAGAACTGGATCAGATCATGCACCATTGCTAATGACATGTGGGGTGCAGACAAACAATTTTGTCAAGCCTTTCAGATTCTTGAACTTTTGGACAAAGCATGCTACATTTATGGATGTGGTGAGGCAAAGTTGGGAAGTTGATTTCATAGGGGATCCGTTTTTGATGTTCAAGCAGAATATCAAGAGGGTGAAGGCAGCACTCTCAAAATAGAGTAAGGAAACATTTGGTGATATCTTCAAGAAATTGGCTATTTTGGAGGACATTGTTAGGGTGAAAGAGATGTTGTTTGAAGAAGAGCCTACAACTGAGAATAGGATTGTGCTTCAAAAGGCTCAATCTGAATTGAAGAAATACTTGAGTATTGAGGAGTAGTATTGGAAGCAAAAAGTTAGGATGACTTGGTTTGCTGAAGGAGATAGGAATACAAGTTTCTTTCACAATCATGTCGATGGCAAAAGAAAGAAATTGCAACTGAAGAGGATCAAAAGTGGCAGTGGGGTATGGATTAAAGACCAGGAGCAATTGGCTACAGCTGCTGTGGATTTCTATCAAAAACAGTTCACAAATGAAGGTGATGCTTCTGAAATTTCCTTGCTCAATAATGTACCTTCAATGGTCACTATGGATCAGAATTTGGAACTTAGCAGATTGCCAACAATTGAAGAAGTAAGGGCAGCAGTTTTTGAGCTTAGTGGGGAGAGTGCTAGTGGTCCTGATGGATTCACTGGCCTGTTTTATCAAACATGCTGGGATATTATTGGTGCTGATATACACAACATGGTGCTACACTTCTATGGAGGAGCTGCATTGCCTAAATCCATCACTCACACCAATCTAGTGTTGCTGCCCAAAAAACCTAGAGTTGAGACCTTCTCTATCTTAAGACCTATTAGTTTGAGCAACTTCATTAACAAGGTCTTGTCTAGGGTGTTACATGACAGATTAGAGAGTTTTTTGCCATCTCTAATAACTCCTAATCAATCCGGATTTGTAAAGGGTAAGAGTATATTTGAGAATATCTTATTGACTTAAGAAATTGTCGCTGACATAAGGTTAAGGGGAAAGCCAGCTAATGTGGTGATCAAGCTTGATATGGCTAAGGCCTATGATAGGGTTTCATGGAAGTACTTATTGCATGTGCTAAGGAAGATGGGATTTTCTGAACACTTCATCAACATGGTGTGGAACTTGATGTCAAATAACTGGTATTCAGTATTGGTGAATGGGCAGTCCTCAGGGTTCTTTAAGTCGACAAGGGGTGTGAAACAAGGGGATCCCCTATCTCCAGCATTGTTCATTCTGTCAGCTGAGGTACTTTCCAGGTCTTTGAATAAGCTCTTTGAAGACAAGTCATTTGTGGGATTTGGAATGCCTAAGTGGTCTGATCCTTTAAACCACTTGACATATGTTGATGATACGATAATCTTTGCATCTGCTCATCCTCCCTCTTTGAGCAAGATTATGGCAGTGTTGGGGAACTATGAGAAGGTCAGATGATCAACAAAGATAAGAGTTCATACTACATGCATTCAAAGGTTGCTAATGTATTGTTTCAGGCAATTGGAGCTATTACAGGATTTGCAAGAGGTAAAATCCCCTTCACATATCTAGGGTGTCCTATTTTTTATACTAGAAGGAGGAAGGACTATTATGATGATCTTATCAAGAAGGTGAAGGCTAAATTGCATTCATGGAAAGGAAAGTTGTTGCCATTTAGAGGAAAGGCAACACTCATCTCTAGTGTGTTGCAAAGTATGCCAGTTCACATGTTATCAGTCCTTGATCCACCAAACAGCATCCTGGGGCATCTACATAAGACTTTTGCTAGGTTCTTTTGGAGCACAAAGGAAGAAGGGAGAAGCCGACACTGGGCTTCATGGAAATNTGGATTGGGTGCACTTTATCACGTATTACCGGAAGACTTTCCAATCAATGAAGATCTTCAGGAGATAGCAGAACTGCAGAAAGGGGAAGCATGGGATGATCAGCTGCTAGATCAAACTTTCAATGAGGAAATTGCAGAACATATAAGGCTAAATGTGCATTATGAAGGCAGTGAGGGATATTGGGATAGGCCATACTGGATGCCAACTCCTTCAGGCAAGTTCAGTGTTAGCAGTGCTTGGCAAATATTAAGGCATAGGGCTGATCCTAATCAGGAATTCAAGTTAATGTGGATTAAAGGCTTGCCATTCAATATATCCTTCTTCTTGTGGAGATTATGGAGGCAGAAAATAGCCACCGATGACATGTGGAGGAGGCAAAGGCTAATGGTGATGTCTAGGTATTGGTGTTATCAGTAGCCCCAAGAGGAATCCATTGAGCATATATTTGTCACAAGTCCTACTGCCTCTAAGGTATGGCACTTGTTCATGGGGCCTGCTGGAATTTCTATGCAATTGATTCAATTAAAGAAGATTATAAGGCATTGGCGGTATGCTCAGTGTTGTCCAAAATTAAAGCCACTATTTCAAGCAGTACTAGCTATCATCACTTGGGAGCTTTGGAAGAGAAGAAATGCAGGTAAACATGGTGGTTCAGTATCCACAAATAGGGTGATTCATAAGATAAATAGGACATTGCATCAACTAGCAAGGGTGAGGTATGCTTGGATCCCTAATATTCCATTGTTATGGCCATACATGATTCAATACTTTGAAGGATATAAACCTATATTGATCATTACAAGAGTAACATGGTAGCTTCATTTTCATGGTTGGTACAAATGTAATACTGATGGAGCTTCAAAGGGCAATCCTGGACCTAGCTCCCTAGGCTTTTGTGTGAGGTATGATGAAGGTGATGTAGTATATGCTAGGGCAATAGACCTGGGAGTGACAACTAATATGGTAGCTGAAGCTAAGGCTATTCTTCAAGGATTGGAATATTGTGTGGAGCATGATCTTCACCCTCTCATACTGGAGACTGATTCATTGGTGATGAAGAAGGCGATAGAAGGGGAATGGGATCCTCCTTGGGTAATTGCACAGGATGTGAAGAAAATTATAGAGATGAAGGACAACTTCAATGTGATCTTTCATCATGTGTTGAGAGAAGGCAACTCAGTGGCGGATTTTATAGCTAACATTGTGTTCTCTTTTGCAGGTACATCTGAGTTTCATTCATTCTCTGAACTGCCTAGTGCAGGGAGGAGGTTGATCAATCTAGACAAATCTTAATCACATAACCTTAGGGTTAGGATAGCAAAAGAGAAGAACCTCAGACTGATGGCTTCTCAGGATTGGACTCTGCACAAACCTGTATGTGGTATTTTTGGAGGTTGTTGAATCATTTCTCAGTGGTATTAGCATGCTTTCATGCTCAATCTGAGGATGGTTTAGCAATGTTTAGAATGATGTCTACATTAAAGGTTCTAGTAGGGAAGGATCTGAGCTTACAAGATCACAAAAAGGCACAATTTCAAAGCCTGGCCTTTGCCTTGCAAAGCCTGCTTAAAGCCAGCTCATTCCTGGCTTTTGCCTTGCAAAGCCAGCCTAAAGCCAGCTCATGCCTAGCTTTTGCCTTGCAAAGCCTGCCTAAAGCCAGCTCAAGCCTGGCTTTTGCCCTGAAAAGCCTGCCTAAAGCCAACTCAAGCCTGACTTTTACCTTGCAAGGCCTGCCTAAAGCCAGCTCAACCCTGGCTTTTGCCTTGCAAAGCCTGCTTAAAGCCAGGCTCCTCTTCTACACATTAATTTTGATGAGTGAGCACATGATTAATACTTGGACAAAATCAGTCCACTGCATATGGAGATCATATAGTAGCAATACTTGGAAGACTATGCTGGCTTCAACTCTGTGTTGGAGATGTTTGGAATTCATTTTAGCCTATGGACAGTATACCCTGGCGCTTGGTGAGAGCTTGATAGGTGTTGTTTGGTATTTGCTAATGACAATTGGATTCACATACACTAATAGGAGAAGGAAGCATTCAACTTATCATGTTGTAATAGTTAGTTCATTAGATTTTAGCTTTTCTATCTTTTAATAGCTAGTAGGTTCATGCAACTTCTATTTTGGTTTGGACATCTTGTAAGCTTTGGACCCAATTTGGGATTTTATTTATATATTAGCCACTAGGCAAGTGCTGCCGAGTGGTATAGTTGCTTTAAAAAAAAGAATCTTTAACCGGCCAAAAATTCAAAAACTTTAACACTTACCACAACTTTTTGGAGAAAAAAAGTTGAAAATTGAGAGAGACAATGGCACTGTGAGAGAACTATAAAGCTTGGGGACGACAATGGGGAGAATCGTGGTTCAACAATATGGAAGACAAACTTATTGTGAGAGAGAGATCGGGGAGAGAGAAATTAGATATACTGTGCGGTGATTTTGGGGGAGAATAACTGAAAGTATGAGAGAGAAAAATATTAGACAACGTATTTAATGCCATAACGATAGTGTATATCATAAATATATATTTTTCTATAAAAAATAAAAGATAGCTATTAAAAATAATATTTTTTTAAAAAAAATATTTATAATAAATATGGTGTAAGCATTTGCTACGGGAAGTAAAACTTCCTTAACTAAATAGGGATCTTGATTTGAAAAGGATAAACAGGTCGGTTCGATTTCGTGCTCGGGCTCGGGTAAGATGAGACGTAAAAACCCGAATCGAGTCGAGTCGGCAAACGCTTCATACCTTTTTCTATAAATTTCCCTCTGATTCAAATTAAAGAAAACCTTGAAAAGGTAATGGCCATCACACGGAGACCCGCCGACATTGGCAAACCTAAAGAACAAAGGGTATGCCTTCATCGAAAGTTTTATTTGTTTCTTTTTGTATGTACAAATTATTGCATTATAATTTCTCTCATATATGTAGTCCGTTTCTTTTGTTTATATTTTCTAATAATATCGTTGAGTTCAAAGTTACGGTAGAAGGATTTTTTCTGTTAGTGTTATAACATTTGCGGTGAAGCAGTGGCGTAATGGTTAACTGGTGGAGGCCAAGAAATTTCAGTTTTAATCCCCTTGAGTTTGTGTCAAAACTTTTATGCTATTCTCCCCATGCTAGAGAGCGGTGGTTTGTTTAATAGTAGGAATAATCCTGCCACTTAGACAGAAGGAGAAAAAAAAATGTTACAGGGTTAAAGATGAAATAGCCTTTGGAGTCGTACTCCATGCTTCGTCCTGTAATTTAGTTTTAGAATTTACAATAACATCATCGAAATTGTTTGTTGGGGGGGGCTAGAATGATTATATAATACTAGAAATCATTGTTATAAAGGGCAAGCATCCCGACCTTCATGCAAGATTTGGGGAAGGGCCGCACTCCAATAGGGTTTGATGTAGGCAGCCCACCCTAACACAAACATCAATCATCAATGCTTGATTCCACGGCTCTAACCCGTGACCTATAGGTTACATGGAGACAACTTTACCGTTGCTCCAAAGACCTCTTGACATCATTGAAATTGAAAAAAAAAGTCTGAGAATTTACAATGACGATCATTGAAATTGGAAACAAAAAGAGTCTGTACAATAGGGATGTTTCGTGCCTCTGTTCTTTCATTAGAAAGAGAGTGCACAATTCCACAAGCTTTTCTGTAAATCGAGAATCTAGCTGTTGAAATTCATGATGTCCATTTGAAATCAATGTCACGCTCCCCGTATTATCCAGCAGAAATTTGTATTGCTTTTCCAGGGATAGTTTGTTTTATATTCTGCTGAGTCCTTCCTTAATCTGGAAAATGCAATTCATTTGCGTAAGTTCTGCTTTAGGATATACTGAGCATCAATTGCATGTTGAGAAATATTAAGATACATTATTAGTGTCCTTGTCTTATCTATGCATAGCATGTGGCTCAATTTTGGATACTTCCCCCTGAGCCATGATCTTCTAGCTTTGGCTAATAGTCTATGGGAACTTCTCACAAAGGGGTTCTGCAGTAAGCCAGTGAGGTGTTCCTATATACCATATGTTTTTGTGAGTCTGAGATTGGTTGGTATGTACCTCTTGGACTGTACTGGACTCCAAATTCTTTGTAGCATACTCTTTCTGGTAGTTCATAGGCAGAAACCAGGGAATAAGGTTGATACTTTGGATTGGTCGGTAGGTTCTAGTTGGGTTCGGAGACTTGCATATCTGATCCGAATGGCATTAAGGTCCTTATAAAGCAAGGAAATGTCGTTGCTACTCATTCTTATATCTAACTGCTAAATTATTAAAATGGTCCTCAATCAGAATGTCTTTCTTATTTTCTGGTCTGTTATATCGAAATGTAATGTTAGAATGTGTTCCACAACTCTTTCATCGGAAAAATGACATTTTTTTCTTTTTGGTCTTTAGGCGGTGGAAGCGTCCGAAGTCAAACATAATTTGGTTACAGAACTTGTGAAAAACTTCGGCGGTAGTATCATATCTTATCCTTGTTGAATTGTTTAATATTTGACATCATTTATACATTGATGGATGAGTTAAATTCCATTTCAAACTATTTCTTGGTGAGTCAGGTGGTAGGACTAAATTTCAGGATTTTGATGAGAGAGAACATATAGCTGCAGATGATGCAGAAAATCTATCCGACATTGATGATTTCGAGGTACTTCCAATGTCTAATGGCAGTTCAAGTCAATGTCTGTGTTAGTTCTGTGCTTATGTACATCTTGTAATCACATTTTTTAACTTTTGGATGTGGCAAAGGTTGTTGGATATCTCAATAACAAGAAGGAGATGCATTACAAGAAAATCTTATGGGAAAAAATGAATAAAGAGTTTGCAAAGGTATTGCCTTTCTTCCATCTACTCTGCTACATGGTAGTTTAGCTCTAGAGAATTTTGGTTGAAGTAATTGCCACTTTTTTGCCTTTCTGCTCGTTCAAGTGCATATATAAGATAAACAATATAGTTTCTGTTTATTTCTTGTTGTGGTGTCCTGACTTATTAGTTCATACATATGCATTATCCTCGTTATATTTCTCCTTTCTGGTTGTCTTCCACCTTCCTGTCTTCCCCCTTGTCTTCCACCTTCTGGGTGTTTGATTAGACTCGTTCATAAGTTAGATTCCTCTCTTACTGTCAAAGGACTTATGTGATTATGTCACACTGAAGACTGGAAGTTTTTGAAGTGAAATGCCTCTAAAACCGGTATTAGCTAGCTGTACATAATAATATATGCGTATGGCTGGATCTTCATATAAGTCTATTAATGTACTGATGTTATAAATTGGGGAAAGGACCAAGAACCTCCCTGTCCCAGTGAGAGATAGGCTGAAAGGTGCGTAGCCTAACTTAGGTTGCTGACAGTTTATTCTTATGCAGTGATGTCATCCTACCCTCTCCATTCATTAGACAAATAGAGACTCATGAGATAGGAATAAGTATCTAATGAACTCAATTATTCCAGTGTACATGAAAGAAAAAGGAAAAGGAATGACAGTCAACGAGATCTGTCATGTGATGCACATTTCTTGATCAATGACTTTACTCTCTCCTCTCCATCTTTCATTAGATAACGAGAAGTACTTTAGTCTGTCTTACTTCTTAAATGTACAACTCTTCTCTTGATCTACTAACCACCCATCTATGTGACGTTGTACCACAAATTACTCAACCTTTTTCTTTCTCAGAGTGATGATAAATTACAGGGGAAGAAACGAAAACAGGAAACTGGAGGTAAAAAAGATGTCCGTGCGAAGAGATCTGCTAAAACAACTGAAAGAGTTGAGAACAAGGTGCGCATTTTTCAGCTAAACATCCTTTTTGCTCATGTTACGTCTTTTAGATGGTATAATGTGCTGAGTTTACCTAAATACGATTCAAATATTTGCAGAGAACAAGTTCGAAAATAAATTATGATGCTTTGCAGAAGCTGACTGACGATTTGGTATGTCTTTCTTTTTACCTTTTTGCAATAATTGCTATGCCTTTCTACTGCTCTCTTCTTGAGCTTTAGTTAGAACATCCAGTGATGTGCTTAATCCACATATTATCTTGTCATAGGATCTGAAAGATGGAAATTATGATTTTTCTGAAAAAGAAAAGAGAAAGAAGGGGGGGGCTATGCAAAGTGGGAAGCTTACTTGGTAACTCTGTTTTGCGTACCTCTACCCTCCACCTAGATGATTAAAAAAGATGAAAACCTCTTTCAGAGCATAATATACTCTTAACTATTTCCGGCTACATTTCAAGTTGCTTCTTATCAAGAACCATGAATACATACTAGTGAGGAACATGTATGCTGGACGCCAACTCCTTCTGACCGTGCCAGAAGTGGACTTAACAAGCTCTTATGCACTTATATGGTTGTTGAATGGTGCTGCAGAATCAAGTTTCTGAAGAGGCAGAGCTAGGACGATTGGAACCTAAGGCTTGCGCTAATGGTGATTCAGCTGATAACCTGAACATTGGGTTCCATGATCTTGAACAGGAGAATGCGTATGGTGAAGATGATGACTCATATAGAGACAATAATGATGATTCATGCTATGGATATGAAACTGGATACTATAATAGTGAAGATTTTGATACTGATTATTGAATTGCAAAATTTCTTCTTTTTTATTTTCTGGGTCTGGTTTATGTTATCTTTTGCTTAGAGCTGCCAGATGCAAAGAAGCGATATAATACAATGGTTAAACATTTTTCTTCTCCACTTTGAGTAAGTGCTTTTTGATATTCTCAAGTGTAAAATAACCAATGAAGTGATAGTTTTCCCTATTATAAAGTAACTAATTCAAAGGTATATGAACATCCTTTCTTCCCTATTCCTTAATTTGTTATCTTATGTTAAGTATGTCAAATAACTGAAAGGGGTTTTTTGTTGTAAATATCTTCAAATGGATGAATTACCTTTTTTATAGTCAAATCTAATCGTCGGGGTGACTACAGGATTTGCCCATCAAGTGTATTTATAGCTTTTCCTCACTCTGCTCAGTTTTGATCCCTATGCAAGAACATGGAAACATTTCTCTAATGAATTCCTTGGGAACTTCTATAGTCAATGGAATATATAGAATTGTGATCAATCAAATATTGCAAGGATAACGAAGCAAAGGTAGAGTCCTTTAATAATATGTAACATTTTCAGCGCATTTATATGAAAAAGTCTTAATTATTATATTAGCATAAGAAGTAAACATTTTTAAATAGGGTTTTTGCCATACATGCAATTTGCAAACATAATAAATAAAATCAAACAAAGATAGTTAGCATAGATAGGAGTCTATCTCCCGTAGGCATCGGAGTAGATCTCCAATAAAAAAGACAAAGAACACCTTAAATTAAAACACATTACTTTGCGTCTACAGACACTTATTTAAACCTTCTAAAACTAAAAAAGTGTCGACGGTGGATGACAGCACCCACAATTAGGTCTTCCTTATGTGATCACTCTATTTCTTTACAGTTTGTAGTTGGTTATTTCCCTTACTCCGCATGAGTTGCTGTAAAAGGTACTTAATTAAGCTTAATAATTTGTGAGTTTGTTCTATTAGCGAGAATGCTCTCCCAATGCGGAACCAAAAAAAAAAGAAAAGAATAAGAACAAGAAGGACAAAAGACCTCCAAAGAAAAGGACAAGAAGACCTAGAACAGGAGCTAAGAGCCTAAGTGATTAATGACTGCTGAACGGTTAGATTAGAAGAGTTTTATAGTTATTTGATAAACGGTTGTAATTTTCTTTTCATTAAAGAGCTACCATTTACTTGAAATTGTTCAGTAACAGTCGTCAAACTTCAAAGCTGATGCTCTCTCATTCACTTATTAAAAGAAAAACAAAGGGAGAAAAAGCTATAGCTCATATGAAATGAATTTCTCGTGTTTCGGCTGGTGAATTCTCAACTCCCCTAGCAAGGTTAACAGGAAAAAGGATACCATAACAAACAAGAACATATCACATTGAAATTCTAGATATTTAAACATCAAATTGCAGGGGATCAAAATCTTAGCATATGCATGTTAAAGAATAATCGAAGTAGTAAAATGAACTCATATGAAAAGGGGCTTATAAATAAAAAGAGAAGAAATAACATTAAAAGAATTATGATTCATACGAACCATCATACTAAATAGAAAGACCTTGAAATCATTCAGGTTATACAAGATATGTTTTGAGCTTTACTCTAAAATTTCAGCCATCTCTTTTCTTTTTCCTTGCTATGAACTGCATTAGATGCAGAAGCATGAGCAGCTTCAGCACTGGCTATAGCTTTTCGAGTTTCATTTAGCTTCCTCATAGCAGCTTCATAAACCAGTTTCTCATTCCTGTTCCGCTGCATCATTTCTTCCAGTTTCTGAGCTCGTATCCTCAACTCTTTTATCTCATCATCATATGCAACCAGAGCCCTCCTATCTTCTTTCTTCTCTTCCCTGTTCGTCTTACTTTGCTGCCTCTTTACTGCGCTATTATTCATGGTTTCTCCATGCACTGCAAGCTGATTATTGATAAGAGTAAACACATCTGGTCTTGATTCCTCTTCTTCTTTTGCAGCCCGAGCTGCTGCTGCAAATTTCTTCTCGCGTTTCCTCTTACCACCTCTACTTCTTTTCTTAACCTTGTTGTCTTCATTCTCAGCTTCATGGCTTCCAACAGCATGGTCAAGAGACAGTTTTCGTGGGAGAACTTTTACAGGAATAGGATCCACCATTCCCTGTCCAGATGCGCCTAAGCCCATCCCTTCACGGTAACCCATGTTTGCCATCATCCTGGAAGCTATCCCGCGTGTGTGATTCTCCCACTTCGTAAACAGTGTCGTTTCTGTCTGGACCCCATGCTGCAGGGCCGTGCTTTCAACAAATCCTAACCCTTGTGAACTATCATCTTCATAGTCACTAGAATCAGATTCTTTGGAACCTGAGTAACTCTCTTCTTCATCACTAGCCTCTGCATGTTCGGACAGTTCAATATTTTCAGCTCCAAGCATAGCAGAACTTCCATCATCACGGAAAACAACGTGACCCAAATTAAGCTTTTCATCCCAAGACTCAAGTTCAGCTTCTTTCCAAAGGCCAACTTTGCTATCAGAGAGAGCCCAGATACTGGAACCCGCAAGTGATGGATCCCATTTCATAGGGATATACTTCTTTAATGAGGATATTGGAATGTTGATACCTGAAACATCAATAATTATACATCAGCTTAGTTTTAAGAGGCTCAGCAAACTGCCAAGCAGCAAACATGATCACACACTGATCTATGCAGCAGCAGTAAATCCGGAACTTGATGTTTATAATCATCCATCTAATAACGCAGCAAAGTACTGTTAGCAAATTACAATCAATAGTGCTTAAAGATTGCTACCTGTTTCATTAAAATGTAGATCATTTGACTGTAGCATATCACAAGACTTGCACTAACAGAGAAAACTTGACCAGTATTTCTCCATTCAAGAGAAAGATCTCTAAGTTACATAGTCAAATTACTTTTATTTCAAAAAAATGGATATATATTTTTAATTTGACTAGAGGATCAAATTGGAAGCAAAAGCCTGATTTTCTCCACTAATGATAGACACAAAAGATATCTGTGAATGTCAAACCAATTCTAAGATCTCTGTCCAGATCTATTCATTCCAACATACCGTGTGATAAGCGGCAACTACTACCAAATCGACATCGCTGCTGTAGAAAGAACTTGCACATCTGCACTAGGGTGGTCTATCATTAGCAAGTGATATGACTAGAATGTATGCACTTTGTGACTAGGAAAATCAAAAGAAGATTCAAGAAGCAAGGACTGCATAATCTGAGAAAAAGAGATATAAAAAAGACTTCACTGTTTCTCAACCACGACCAGTAATGGAGGTGATTGTGCTAAGATTTACCCGTGAGCACGAAAAACACGAAAGATCAAAATGAGACGAGAGTACATCAATTTTTTAGAATGGAAGTAAACTGCTAGGACTAGCACAACAATTGCCCAAACTATGTTGGTATATGAAAGAAAGGAGACAAATTTTTATAATTAGACTGATAAACAAAAAGCAAATTGGAATTAGGTTCCACAAGTTTTGATAATGGAAAGATGGAAAATATGCTAACACAAAGTGGAAAGCTAAATTAATCTTTTGGTCCGATCAATGAACTGCACTAAATTCTGTTCAAATAACTATGACGATTGTCATCAGTCATCAATCTATCCACGTATATTCAGAAAACTCAGTTTGAATAACAATGTGTGTACCATTGCTTTCTGTGCCAGAGCCATATCCGCTAACAAGCAAAAGCTCTTACCAATGACTCCATCCTTCCAAATTTGGAGAATTGTTCAAATTTTGATATGTATCCTTGAATAGGGGCAATATGGAGGAGAAAAAATATGGAAGTGCGACATAGTGAAAAGTGAATATTTTGATGCCTCCAAATAACAATTTCAGAGGTCAGAAATAGGAAGCATGATGCATCCCATCAAATCTGTAAAAGTTCATCAAAGTTCTCTGCTGGATTCAGAATTCCAAGTTTTGAGGATCTCATCTTCATTAAAAGTTTTTAATTCCTTTTTTTATATTGTGGTTAGGTGAGAGGTATTTCAGTGGTATGGGTTTTGCGGCGTCCAATCTGCTTGCCCACAGGGTTTCATCCCCATGCAGAATGTTGCTAACCAAAAGAGAGAAGAACTCAAAATTATCTAGCCCAACTCACACCAGATTGATGCCTTCGTACTGAAATCGCATTATAATGGAAAAGGTGTTGCGATTGGTTCACAATGAGAAGAAATCTGCTGTGGGATATATTTTTATGATGCTACCGATAAAGCTAACGAAGCCATTGAATAAGATATTCAATGGGAATGGTGCAAAGTATAAAGATGTCTTTACGATCACTTATAAAAGATGGTAATGCCAGTTGCATCAACCATTACATGCAGCTGCACATTATTTAAATCTCGAGTATTTCTATCAAAATACAACTATTGAGAATCGTCAAGAAGTTACAGATTAGTTCGTATTGAAAATTTGGTTCCATGCATTGAAGTACTAAGACAGGATCTTCTCTGGGAGATACCTATGTAAAGAAGAGCTGAACATAATTTGGTCCTCCTATGGGCAAAAGTTGGTAAACAAGAAGTAACTGAATATGGTTTTGTTGGTACGCAATACATAAGCTTGGTGGTTAAGCTCGAGCACAACAAGCAGGCATGTCGTTTAAGTCTGCTAAACAGCCTACAGAAGCAACATCAAACAAATGAACACAACAAATGGTCTAGACAATACAGCATATTATGGATATATCAATCATCCCTAATATATGTCCCATGAGGAAACCCAATTCCTTTATCAAAGTGAAAGAAAGTAAAATTCAAATTATGCAACGAAAACACTAAGAACGATAAGGAGACATCATTTTAAAACCAATGTTAGTGAGAATAGGAAAAGTAAGTTCAGAACACACGAAAAGCAAGACCAGGGAGTACCCACCACCATGTTTTCAGATGTTGGAGTAAGGAAACAAATTTTTGCAGAACGAGAACCCTCCAACCCCACGACTAGGCCATTATACCACCTTCCGTCATTGTTGCGGAATCTACATTTTGATCCAACAGAATACTCTTCATCCACTAGTGGTTCTGCTTTAACCTCTTTTGGATCAAGAGGCTCCACCTCAATATTAGCAGGTTCTTTCTTCGGACAATGTATAGCATCAACCTCTAGCAACAACCTGGCTCGTTTTAGGTGGAGGAGACCTTCCTCAGCATCTTTTATAGACTGAACAAGCTCCTCATGTACCTGTTTAAAAAAAGATAGTCATCTTCAAGCATCTCCTTGCACTTAAACACTAAAGTGGAAACCTTTATGTTATCCCTGAAAGCTGGATTTTGCAATTAGATAGTTACTCCCTCCGTTTAAAAAATAATTGACATTATATCCTTATTAGTCCGTTCCAAAAAGAATGACACCTCTTTAAATTAGGGGAAAAAATCAACTTAATCTTCTCATTTTACACTTAATGAAAAGTTTTTATAAACACACAAATGTTATGTCATGTTTAAAACCACTAGATTTAAAAGTTTAACATATTCAAGACCACAAGTTAGTATTTCTTTTTTTTTCCTCTTCTAAAATTTCTTACCCAGTAAAAACAATGTCAAATAAATTGAAAGAGTGGGAGTAGTTTTTATTAGATGGAATGATGATTGTATACATTTAACTTCTCATAATTTGCATAAACTGAAAAGATATAGTTGCATAACTCCTAGAGTTTTCTTTTTAAGGGCTCAACACAATTGCATAATAAAAGGGGGGAGAAAACCCTAACCTCAAGGAGTTCGGGATTTGAAGGATCAGAGGAAAGGGCTTGAGCGAGAGAGTGGAGGGCGTCTCTCTGCTCTTCCAATTGAAGCTCCAGCTCCCTTTCCAATACTGCTCTCTCTTCCTCCTCCGCCGCCATTTCCTTCCCGGATTATCGACAGCCTTGGCCTGGCGGTTTGATTATACGGAGTATAAATTATTAATCCGACAAAGAATGAATTAGACCTTCGTGTACTCAGCTTTGTTTTTGTTGGCTAATGTTACAAAATTACCTTTTTTTAATGAAATATTATTTACTGACTTTTAAAAAAAAAAATTGTTTAGTGATTTTGTGTGATATTTGGAAAAAACTATTCTCACCGTTCCAGTTTATGTCAACATATTTTTTTTTTAGTCCGTTCTAAAAAAAAAATAACACATTTCTAAATTTGGAAATAATTTAGTTTAAACTTACGATTTTATCCTTAATGAGAAGCTTTTATAACCACACAAATACTGTGGGACCCTTTTTGACTTGTTTAGGACCACAAATTCCAAAAGTCTTCATTTTTTTCTTAAACTCCGTTCTCAATCAAACAGGTTCAAATAAATTAGAATGGAGGGTAACTTTCAAATTATAAAAAAAATAGTTAGTTTTTTGTACAATAACATAAAAATTGAGTGAATATAGAGGTACAGACACATACTTTTGGGGTGATTTGGTTAAATAACTTTAGGAAAAATTTACATGGTATAACTAACTTATACACTATATTTATTATATAAATACACTTTAAAATAATTATAATACACAGTTACACTTTGGGTTTTATAGCAAATACCCAAACTCTTTCTATTTAATGAGGCTGGCCTGCAAAATCACGATCCCTTGCCTTTTCCGGTAACACGGACTCTCTTTCAATGGCTGGTGTGCCGGAAACCATGACAATCCCACGCTCCTCGGCACTGCCGCCGTTGTCACTAGCTCCAGTAGCCGATTCTTCCTTTTCAAGCCCTCGTTCCTCCGTTAGACTTTCTCAATTATGAGCCCTTAAGATCCGCCAACTCGCTCATCTGTCTCCACTAACTCCTTCTCCAAAGTTGTTCCAAGAGGAGCATGAATCGTTTGTGAAGCTCAGAATACAGCTCGTTGAAGGTATATGAGAAACTATTCAGAGAGATTGCAGAGAAGGAATAATTAGAGGCCAAGACAAAAAGAGAGACGAGAAGCCTAGAAGCCTCATTCTCAGATCTGGCTGGACTTTGGTAAATACACTGTAATAGTGTATTCTCATATTTGACCGGATTTTTGTTCGTCTTCATTTTTAGTTTTAATACAATGTATACAGTGTTTTTCTTGGCCGGAAGATGCCATCTTCTACGAATTTTCTTCTCTTCTCTACTATGGAGTCACATACAATGTATTCTTAGATCTGTCTGGATTTTAGTTCGTCTCTGGTGACGCGAAGCCTGAAAGCCTCATTCTCAAATCGTCGGATTTTCAAATGATAAATATAGTGTATACAATGTATTTTCACATCTAGTCGAATTTTTATTCGTCTCCATTTTGAGTATAAATACAATGTATATAATATTTTATTTGGCCAAAAAATGCCTATCTCCAAGGAACTTTTTTCTCTTCTCTACCTGTATGCATTGAGAATGTAGCTATATTTGACTTTCTTTATCAATGTTGTTGCTTTTTGATACATTATATGATTGAGTTATTTAATAATTGTATTCTAGTTTTCACACATTAAACATATTTTTCTAGCCCGTATCCAATTTCTCAGGTTGTATTGACCGTATCCCAAAAAATCATTATATGTTAATTGTAATGATCTGATCGGTCATTTTGAGTCCTAGCGCGTCATTCAACGGTTCGAGGTATTTAGTAGCTTCATTTCAGGTGTTATGACTTGTACGTATTGTCGGAATTAAATTTCGGGAAGTTCAGAGTTAGATTTGGAAAGAAAATTCTAAATTTGGAAGCTTTAAGTTGGAAGAGTTGACCAAACTTTGACTTTTGAGTAGACGACCTTAGAATCGGGATTTGAAGGTTCCAACAGGTTCGTATGATGATTTCGGACTTGGGCGTATGTCCGTGTCGGATTTTGGATAACCCGGGAGTATTTCGGCACCTATTGTGGAAGTTAGTAATTTGGAAGAATTTCATAAATTTGGGTTGAGGTGTATTTCAATGTTATCGATGTCCGTTGGGGATTTCGAGTTTGGGAATAGCTCTGTATGGTGATACTGGTATTGGGAGCGCGTCCGAAAGTGGATTTGGAGATCCGTAGGTCATTTCGGCGTTAATTGGCGAAAGTTGAAAATTTTGATGATTTTTGAGAAGTTTGACTGGGAGTGGACTTTTTGATATCGGGGTCGGATTCCGATTCAGGAAGTTGGAGTAGGTCCGTAATGTCAATTATGACTTGTGTGTAAAATTTGAGGTCGATCGGACTTGATTTGATAGGTTTCGGCATCAGATGTGGGAGTTAAAAGTTTAATAGTTTATTAGGCTTGAATCGATGCGCAATTCATGGTTTCGATGTTGTTTGATGCGATTTGAGGCCTCGAGCAAGTTCGTGTCGTGTTTTGGGACAGGTTGGTATAATTGGACGGGGTCCCAGGGGCCTCGGGTGTGTTTCGGGGTGGTTTCGGATCGAATTTGGATGAAAAGTTGCTACTGGTTTGCTGGTTCTAGTTTTGTTCTTCGCGAACGCAAAGGGAGTCCCGCGTTCGCGAAGAAGGAAAATGGTGGCTGCTATCTTTTTTTCGCGAACACGATCAATGGGTCGTGAACGCGAAGAGGAGTTTTGAGGTCGCTGGGTTTTGGCCTTCGCGAACGCGAGGTGTAGTTCGCGAACGCGAAGGGATTGGCTGAGGAAACTATGCGAACGCGAAGGGTCAATCGCGAATGCGTAAAAGATAGGAGAAGACGGGCCTAAGGCCATTTGGCCTAGCGAACGCAATGGCTTGAACGCGAACGCGATGCCTTGCATGGACAGGCCTTCGCGAACGCGACACTGGTCACGCGAACACGACACTGGTCACGCGAACGCGAAGAGAAAATGCTAGGGCAGGAACATTTGGCCTTCATGAACGCGAGGCATTTGTCGCGAACGCGAAGAAGAACGGGTCTGAGCAGTGTTCTGTTAAAGACGGGGGTTGGACTCATTTCCACCCCATTTCTTCATGGGAGCCAATTTTGGGGACGATTTTTATCACCATTTTCACCATCAATCATGAGGTAAGTGATTCCTACTAGTTGTGAGTTAAATACAAGGTTTATATATGGATTTTAACATAAAAATTTATAAAAATTTGGAATTTTGAAGAAAAACCTAGAAAATTGGTATTTTTTATTTTTCACCACGAAAATGGTTATGGAATTGGATGGAAATTATATATTTGAGTTCTTGAGATTATGGGTAATAATTCCCTCCGAAAATTTTCGAAATTCGGACACGTGGGTCCGGGGTGAATTTTAGAAATATTACCATTTTGGGTTGGGTAATTGAATTAATAGCCTTATTTCGAATTATTGAACATGTATTAATTATTTTATATTACTTTTGGATAGTTTCAGATTTTTTCGGCATCGAATTTAAGTTTTTACACGACATCGTGATCGGAAGTGGGCTTTGAGACAAGGTAAGTCTCTTGTTTAATCTTGTGAGGGGAAATTACCCCATAGGTGATTAAAATAATAATTGTTGCTAATTGTGGGGGGCTACGTACGCACGAAGTGACGAGAATCCGTACGTAGCTATTATCTATGCTAAAGTCCGGGTAGTTTAGGACTCAAAGCATGAATTATGTGTGTAAATTGTATCCTTTATTTAATTAAATTATTTAAAATATATTGTGAATTGTCAGGGAAAGATAGTAAAAGATGAAAATCTTATATGCTTAATTTTCTGTTTAAATTAATTAATTTTTAAAAAAAATTTGTTCATCCTCTCAAATTGATCTTATAATAAATATACTCTCCTTCCGGAGGTACATAAGAAAATGTCTTCCTTTCTTGTGGAGCGGGCCGAACGCTTCGGCAGGATAGATGCATCTATGGATCGCGTCGCACGTCCCTCGGTAGTGTACACGATACTCTGGATCGGGTCGTACGACCTCCGCAGAAATTGTGCCTAATAATAAATTACACGATATTTTGATATTTTTAATTGCAGCTTGTGAATTTAATTAATAGATTGGAAATTATTGCATTTGAAGGAATTTAATTATTTCTGTTGGTTAAATAAAATTATTGTTAACTCTGTGAATCATGTTGATTTAGATATTCTATTTTTATTTCAATTACTATTATTGACCCTTAGTGAGTTTCAAAGTCAGCCATCTCGTCTCTACACTTCGAGATTAGGCTTGATACTTACTGGGTACACGTTGTTTATGTACTCATGCTACATTTGCTGTACATTTTATTGTGCAGGTACATATATGCTTAGCGGCCTTGTGGGCGCAGAGGTGTGATTAAAATGTGGGGACTTAGGTGAGCTGCATTTTGTATTACGATCCGCAACCAACAGAGTCTCCTTCATAGTTATTATATTTTTCCTATCTAATTTGTATTCCGGACAGATGCTGTATTCTATTTTAACTCCCTAGTAAATGCTCATGCACTTGTGACACCGGGTTTCGGGAGAAATTATGGGTTGTTTAGTAACTTAGTTGCTAAATTATTTATTACTTACTCTATGAGTTCTATCTTCATCGTTTAATTGAGGAAATTTTTGATTTCAAAAATACTAATATGGAAAATTTAGTTAATTGATTATGATTGGCTTGCATGACAGACAAGGTGGGTTGCTCTGATGGTAAGCGCCCTCTACTTCCAACCAAGAGGTTGTGAGTTCGAGTCACCCCAAGAGCAAGATGGGAGTTCTTGGAGGGAAGGATGCCGAGGGTCTATTGGAAACAGCCTCTCTACCCCCAGGGTAGGGGTAAGGTCTGCATACACACTACCCTCCCCAGACCCCACTAGTGGGATTATACTGGGTTGTTGTTGTTGTTGTTGTTGTTGTTGTTGATTGGCTTGCATGACAGCGGTGTCCGGTGCCATTACGGCCTTAACGAATTTTGGGTTGTGACACTAACGATACAATTGATATAACTTTCCATCAAAAATATATTCATTGATACAACCATTATGTATGAACGAATACAGTTGATGTAATTTTTTCATCAAAACTGTATTTATTGATACTACCTCGC